GAGTATAAAGCAAGTTGATTCACATATCACCATGTCCTCAATAATCACCAAATCTTCATTTACTACTGACTTTTTAACCCAACTGAAAACCCAATCTCTTTTAAATTGCAGTAGGAGAGGTTTGATTTCAAATATAAATCATTTAAATTTGTGGTATCACCTTTCACAAAGAATAAGGATTCACTGCAATAGGCAAAAGTAAAAGGGAGCCTGCACAGTAGCTTACTGGCATTTGGGGATATATGAAGCAAATACAGAGTAGAAATATGACTTGCAAGGGCACAGTTACTTTTAAATTCACCAAATCATTCGGAAGTGCTGTTTACATGCATCAGTCAAGGCTGAGCTAGGAAAACCTGTCACATTGCCCATATTCTTACTTGCTCTGGTTGCCTCTTCAATTCCCCTTTTGAATATCAGGTACTGAGTTACTATTTTTTTTATTTCAAAAGAGGAGTGTTCATCAAGTTAAATGGGCTGAGATGAAATATTCTCTTAGATGAGTATAGTTTTTCTACAGTGTTGGACAGTATTGTCTCTATTTATCGTTTAGTTTTGGAATTTCATTACTGCTTCTACCAGCAAGTTCTACCTATCAGCCAAAGTAGGTAACAGACAGTTTAGTGAGTCACTGGAAAGTTTTATAGGTGATATTTCTAAGGCAAGTGCTTTGATATTTTGAATAAGTGCACACATATACAATGCAAGAAGTCTCTTTAGCATCTTTAGGACTTTACGCACCAGCAAAAGATTTGACATTATACTTTTGGAAATACTGTATAGGGGTATTTGACATTCACTCATTCTAGTAATTTTACTCTCCATAAGCAAAGACTCTTTGTCAAGATGAAAGCTAGATTTGTCTAAGATGGTCTCATTTACTAGGTTTCAGAAGACAATTCTATTAAAGAAGACCTGTGAGCATTGTAAGCACTTTGCTTATGTAACTTTCTTCTTTGCTAATTGATTTCTTTCTTTATATTCCTTTAAGACCTATCCTTTTGAAAACATGTACTCCTGTGACAAGGTAAAACAAAGCACATGCAATATGCTTCACTCATAGAAATGATGGTTTTACTAGTCACAGAATTCCTTCTGAAGGGATGGCATACATTTAATGACTTGGACCCATAGATGGCAGGATGGGACCATTCAGTACTTATTTTTTAAGGTACAAACCAAGAAGTGTCATCTGTTTGGTTGTTCATGGTTCCAGAAAAAAGCACATGGGTAAAGAAGTGAAAATAAAATAAGATTCTGATTCCCAACTGTTAATTTGTTTGCTGGCACACTGTTCTCTCTGTGAACTTTGTTAAAGTACTTCCTCCTTTGAGGACTTATCTACACTGAGTTGCAGAATGGTCTCAAACAGTGATATGGGCTACTCTAGAAGTCCTTTCATGGCCAGAGAGACAGATTATGTACTTCTTCTCAGTTCCAGCATGGTATCATGGACTATATTGCACTGGAGTTGCTTGTTTCTTTGTTCCTCTCAATTGTTCAAGAGTTCATGGAAGTGGGAGTTTTCAGTATTTCCAACAGTTCTCTTCTCCCAATATGAAATACTTTCTTTCTAATACTAAATGTTTTTCCCATGACAGTCAGTCAATATATGTGTGACAAATAAATGTTCCATTTGAATGAATTATTCGAGCCTCAAAATACAACAGTTGCTCCAGTTCTGCATTTACTCCTTGAACCTTCTAGATATCTGGACTTCTGTGCTAAAAGCATTTGATCTAGACTTAGTGTCATAAGCTATGGTCACTGCCCTAAGCAAGGAATTAGATTTAATTATAAATTATATTTGGGATATTATTTCAAATTTTCATGACTTGCTAGTGGCTCACTATGCGAATGTTTATCATGTAAGTTCTCAATAAAATTGTTGGCCAAATAATCATCAAGTAAACTCATTTATTCACATATTATTCTTCAAATGAAAATAAGTGATATATAAGCAGAGTAACAATGTTTGCATCTATCAAATACTTCCTTTGTTTTCCGGTTAATGATAAATGCATTAAATATATCATTCTAGTTAATCCCTACCTTTGAAGTGGGAGTATTGTCTGTCTTAATTTGTAAATGAGTTAACTTAAGGTCTGGAAATTGGTAACATACAAAGTTACATGCAACTAATGTGTAGTGAAACTTGGATTCAAGCCAAGATCTGCTTGACTCCCATTATGTAAAATACATACTCTTATTCATTCGCACACATACAAATACTTCAAATTATTTCCTTTCCATTTGGTAGTACTAGTTACAACAAAGCTCTGAACTTATATTTGTATTATTTATCTCCCCAGTGATCTGGAAAATATGAGTAATTTTCAATCAGCAGTAGATGAAAATATTTTCAGGATTTATCTTAAATAGTAGGGTCACATTGCTGATTTCCAGTGGCTAAATCTCTTTTGGAATGTTATTATCAAGTAGTCTGTATGTTTGATATTGAATAGCATCATGCCAGGTAATCCACATTTCAAATCATGTTGTCTTACAAATTCATTGAGAAGTCAAACATGCAATATAAGTGCATGACTATTTTCATATTTCAAACATGTACTAAATATTAACATATATGGAGATAGCATAACCTTTGGAATTTACCTCTTTCTTCGTTAAAAGAGATAGGCTCATCAACATTAGATATTCTCCTATTCATAGGAAAGACTAATCCCGAATTATAGGAAAGACTAATCTCTTGCTGCAATTGCTTGGCAGGTCAAATGCCAATGTTAGATAAGCTTAGGACTAACTTCTAATCTTGAATAATTTTAGTGGTTGAGTACATTGCCATACAGACTGTAAAGATGGAATGGTTGTCAGCTAGGTATATATGAACTTGTATCTTTAAAATGAGCTTTCATATAATAAACATTAACACCTTAATGTATCAAGAAAATTGACAAAACCCAAAAGGATGATAATGATATATTTGGAGATTTAACAGTTAAAAAGTACAAATTATACAAAAATTTCTTACTTTGGTTTTGTACACATACTGAAAGTGGCTAATAACTTGAGCTCCTTTTTCTTTGTCATTTATTCCTTAATTGACTTTGAGCATATTGATATTTTCTAAGTTTTCTAATCTGTAAAGAGGAATATATATTGTAGACTCTAACTATGAATTTTATGAGAATTAAATGAATATATTCATTCAAAGTAATTAGGAGAATAGGGTATAATACAATGATACTGTCTTTTCTTTCTAGAAACTATAAGTATACATTCTACAGTTTAAACATAATTCATTCATTAATTTATTCATTAGGCTATTAATTCACTTACTCAACGCTTAATTTCTTTATTTATCAAAGATGTATTAGTTTTCTATTAAATAGCAGACATTATGTTTGGTGGTACTATAGATAAAATTTATAAGACATTGATGATATTTTCTTAGCAAGTTATGAGTTAGTAGATATATATATAGAGAGAGAGAAGTATAGGTATGTTTTATATGTATGTATACAAATATATGTATTATATATGTATATATGCATATTTATAATTATGAAGGCTGGAAATCTTGTTCAGAGATAGAGTGCTTGATCAGCATTCAGGAGGCTCTATGTTTCATACACACCTCTACAAAAGTAAAATAATTGGAGTGCACAATAGAAATGCTTAGTACAGTAAGAATTTCAGATGTTTCCCTTAAAGAATTCTACACATACAGACATTTCATCAAACTTCCAAGGCTATGTTAGTAATTATAGACAAGATTTGTTAACAAAGCTATTAAAATAATTGTACCATTTGCTATTTACATTTGTGCATCACATTCTAGTTTTTAAAAGTAGAGCATTAAAAATTTGTCAAATTAGAAGCAAATATCAGTTACTTAAACATTTACTCTGACACTCTTAACAGTACACCAGAAAAGGCTCATAGGAAAAAAATCATAAGCCAGAGTGTTATACTGTGGCTATTGAAATTGGAGAGATAGTAAACCCTTTAGTCTTCTTTGAGCATTCTGAGAAACACTCAGTTTAAAAATTAGGAAAATACTATGTTTGTAACAATTTACTGGTTAGTTAGCTTCAAAGAAAAAATAACAAAAAACAGGGCTCGGAAAGTGGATGAGTGGTAGAGTGCTTGTCTTGCGTGCATGAGGCCCTGGGTTTGAGTCCTTGGCATCACATAAGCAGAAAAAGCTGTAAGTGGTGCTGTGGCTCAAGTGGTAGAGCACTAGCCTTGAGCTGAAGAGCTGAGGGACAGTGCCCAGGCCAAGAGTTCAGGCCCTATGACCGACCAAAAACAAAACAACCTACGACAATTAATTGCTGGATAAAAAGGTGTAGATCTCTTTCCCTTTAACTGATTCTTGTGGCTGTTGTATTCACTTCTACTGTCTACTTGACTAGCAGCTAAACAACCAAGGCACTTTAGGGTCAAATTCCTCAATTATTGTACGCATAAAGTATCTTTTTCTTTTAATAAGCTAAAGTTTTTGGAGAAACCTGATATGCTTCTAGTTGCCATCTCCATGAAGCATATTGTCCAAGATTATGCAGTTACTATTTTGTTTCATTTATGACATGGAAAATTCAGGCTATTACAAGATGAGAGTCTAAAGTAAGCCACTCAAGGTTAAAGTCCACCTATATGTAATCTCTGCTTTGAGATAACATGTGTTTTTAAACCAAAAAGCCAACAAAATCCCACTTAACTATCCTCAGTTAGAAAACGTGTTTTAGTTGGCCTTGGCCTTGTTATTTTTGTGATTCCCTCCCCCCAATTTTTATGCTCTGAGATACATGTTTTAAACATGTACATTTCTATCAGGATTACAAAATTCCCCCAAAAGGTATTATTTGGGAACAAGGTTTCCTCTCTGTAAGGAATTGTTACATCTGTTTGAGTTCTAAAATAAGTGTACTCCATTCTTACGTGTTTTTTTTTGTTCATTTATTTATGTTTCCACCTTTTCTTCTTTATGGGAGCCACAAGTCCCCCGAAAGCATTTCTGCAGCACGGTTACTTACGGTTAAGAGGCAGGCTCGCATTGGTCGTGCCGAGCTTGTTGGCAGCCACACAAGTATAGTTGCCGAAGTGCTCCTGTGTCACGTTAGTAACGGTGAGAATGGATCTTGTGCTAAAGTTTTGAATAATAATTCCTTGTTGGCCATTGAAGAGCCTAGAAGACAAAATAAACTGTCAGTGAATATGTATTGTGAACAGTTTCATTTGTCAATCCTAGGTGCGATTGTCATGGTAACCCATAGACGGTTTGACCACCTTCCTGTTAGCATTAGCATCTTAGTCAATATGAGTGCAATTTTCCTTGCACTAGTAGATTTGAGGGAGGCGAGGATGGCGTGGCGGGCTGTAGATGGTTTCTGTGGGCATATTTGTGTGGTATTGACACAGAGGTTGGCTATCCACTGTTCTATATTTCAGAGGTAAGTGCATTTTATATATTAAAGTCAAGAAAGACTAAAACAGAGACAGATTTAAAGATTTCACTTAAAGTAGAAATCTGCATTTTCTGGATAGCTTGACTAGTGTATGCCTAGGCAATTTCAGAGGAAAATATTTCAAACCTCAATGAAACTTAACCCTACCAGTGAGTCAGGGTGAGTAGGAGTCCAACTACTACATTACTGATGCAATGGAAAAGATTCCTCCAGTGCAGGTACTATTAAGCTCACTTCAGAATATTTTCTCTAACTATGAATTCTACTAAAATGAAGATGACAAAACACTAACTTCTAGATTTATTATTTTTCCTATTTGTCAAAGATTTATTGTGAAAGAGATGTACTGTCACAATATGTTATAGGCTTTGAAAACGCCACAATCCAAATGATGTGCTAGGTTTTTCATCTTCAGTGTGATCATTTTAGTAATAAATATCTCTTTAATTATAAAGATGAGATTGCAAGTGGCATCATTCTGATAGTTTAAGTTGAACTTCGTTGCATCCAAATGCAGATAAAAATATACTGTAGTTACATGCAGATCAAAATAGTAGTGATACTTGATTATTCTGGGAATTACTCAAAAATAGCTAACTTTGACATATGTAAACAAATACTTTATCAGATTAACAAAACTTTGAGTTGAATAAACCAAACAATTTAACATGAACATTAACTGAAGTGTTCCCACACTATGATCCAGGAAAATAGTGCATAAAATATTTCAAACCTGTCATTTATGCTGAATTCCCACTGTGACTATTGCAGGTTTTCCTGCAGAGTATTAGTAACTTTTAAAAAACTAATTCTATAAGCTGAGTATAAATATCATCTTTATAACCTTGCAAACTTCAATATTAACGCTTCAATCAGTCTTCCTGGGTCTCCAAAGGGCTCAGCAATTCTCTGTACTAGTAAATCCCTGTTGCTCCCCAAGATTGTTTTGCTGCTAAAGAAATGAGAATAAATTAACCAGAATGTTTTACTGGCTAGGCTTGGAGGAGCCATTCTCATGAGAGTGCATCCATACACTGTAGCAGTACTTGCTGATACTCCTTATGGCTGTCTTTCTGAGTGAGTGGGTGTTGAATCCTGGATATGCAATACAACTGGAGGCAAAAGCACAGATGTTGCTGACTCATGCAGCACACTCATGTCTGTCTGATCGCAGCCAGTTCTGGCCTCTGGCCAACAGTACCATGTACATCCTTACCGGACTGGCACATAGTGCTCAAACCCCTACTAACTTAGAGCATCCAGGCAGGTGATTAGGACTAACATAAAACAGGAATATCTTAGGGGATTTTCTTCCCTCTAGGGAAAACTACCTTTCTGAGATTGCTGAAGAAACCTAAGGCTTGCTTTCTTTTACTGTTGAAAGTTTTAAAACTGCTGGTTCCTCAAATGCCATTTGTGACCTTATCTTCCTTTGCCTGGTAGGTAGCAAGCTGACAGGGGCTTTTACAAGTTGAGAGAGAGAGGGGGGGGGCCTTCCTGGATGGTATGCACCTCCAGAAGATGTACTTGGAAGTATTTTAGGCAAAGATCTTAAATTGAGAGGCCTTTCTCAATTATTCAGATCAATTTAGAAAATATTCACTGAATAGTTACAAAGAGTTTTACACTGAATAATTAGGAACTGGGTTCAGCAAAATTCAGACTCTGTCTTTAAGAAGGGAAAAGCAACAAAAAGAATCGGATATCTAAAAAAAATCTATCTATCTATATCTACATATAATATAGATACATATATCTATATATGAGTTTATATATAGATATGTTTCTTAATATATAGATATAGATATGTTTCATAATATATAGATATCTCCATATCTATATACCTATCTATCAATCTATCTCTATCTCAGATATCTCTATTTTTAGTTACTGGATGTAGAAATATGGGGTTAACCTGGAAGTCTCAGCAAATAAGGTCTGAATGTGACTAGAAATATATGATAAAGAGGTTTTAATTGATGACCTTTTCTTTCTGAAATAGATTTATTCCAAAAGGGCCAATGATTATATTTTTTATGCAGAAAACCATTCATGTATTGAATTAGGTTATCTTCTCCTTGCAAAGAAAGTAAAAGAAATTCTACTGATTTAGGAGTTAAATATAACATCTTGTTCTTTACAAGAAGATCATCAGCATATGGTGCTTACTTGGAATTACCTGGTCATTTTTTCTTTGTTGTACTTTTATCATAGGGGATATGGTTATAAGGTCCTTCCATTACTGTAGACCCCATTGTCCTGTGATACCAATACAAGTTTACTCCATATCAAGGACCATTACACTCTCTCTCTCTCTCTCTCTCTCTCTCTCTCTTGCCAAAGCCTCATAAATCTGTGAGCCACAAGCTGTTTGCTTTCCAACAGATGCTGAAAACTTGTGCGTGACAGAGGCCAAACCACTAAGTATTTAGAAATAGCCCCCTATATCTTTCAGTTTCAATAAGGAATAGCACATGGGAAGTATTCCTCCATTTCTGATTTATGGAATGTTGCAAACTTTATAATGACCACCTCCGTTAGGCACAACTCTTTAGGAAGAGCAAAAGAGCTCCTAGTTACATCATCACAGAAGACCTGACTACATGGTATCAGCATCAATTGTTAAGACTGCAAAAATAGAGAAGCTACACTACAACTTATTCATTTCCTATATAAATCCAGCCTTACTCTATACTTGGGGGGGTCATTGCTCACTATCTGTCAGGAATAACAATAAACACCACAGGCACTGAATTATGAGTATACTTCTATTCTTTTCACTGTGAAGAGAAATGCTTTATATATGTGGAAAATGTTAACTGTTCTCAATAAGCTTATGGCTGAAGTAATCTAACACTAAAACATTAAAGCATTATTTGCAAAAATGCCTGATGTTGAGTGGTAAGTTGGCATGTGGTATAGGACTGTTTCCAAACATATATGTGAACTAATGTTCACAGCAATCCTAGGAGATAGGTGTTATCAATCTCATTTTACAAATGAGGAAAACAGAAGTTTAGAAAGAATGAGCAAATTTATCTATGACCACTGGATAAGTAGCAAAACAAATATTCAAATCTGAAGCCTTTTGAACTATTGGTATCTTCTCACAATAGAATTAGTATTAAAATCATCAAGTAGAAACCTGGATGTTATATTTGATTTGGAGAGATGAGTCAGAAATCATGAGTGCTTCAAGAAATTGAGTCCAACCAGGGAATAAAACCAATGAGCTAATAACCAGTTGACATGCCACATTCGTGCCAGGAAAAGCCAAGTTCAATCCCAGGATTGAAGTCTAATGGTGTAGAAAGTCAAATAAAGAGGAAACTTCAGTTCAGCTAGCTATAGGGCAGTCTTTTGGGCCAGAGGTCTCCTGGCTATTTGTTCTGTTAGTTATTCCTTTTAGTGCAGCCTCTTACACAGCAGTCATCAGCCTCTACTAGAGTTCGTCTGTCAGGTTCCTCACAGGCTCTTACCTCCTTTCCTTCTCTATTTCCCCAAATATACAATCTGTATCAGTTGCTGTTTTGTTTGTTCCTGTCTGGCTTCACTAAATATTTAGAGAGTAGAAAATCTCTTTTCATAATAAAGATGCAGAATGTGTTCAAGAATGGCAGAAAAATACAACTGGGCCAAATAAGAAAGCATTGTCTTGGGCTGGAGATTTAGCTCTGTAGAAGAGCATGTGCCTGGCAAGTACAAGGCCTTGAGTTCAATCCTCAGGTCTGAAAAAAGCAATATCTCAGCACAATTCCAAAATTATAAAGTCAAGTTCTACTCATGCAGTGAAGTTATTGTGTTCTGCCTGACTTGGCCAAATTATTAGTGTAAAATAAAATACTTCTCACTTGCTTGAAGTTTTCCTATTTGTGTGATTTTTAATTAATAAGTTTCTTATTCAGTGTGCAGCCCCATTATGACAAGGCTTCTCAATGGTTTTGTGAGTTTGTGTATTCCAAGCACAAGTGTCTAACAATGCTGGCTTCTTAATAGTCAGGGACCCAATAAGTAACTGTTGTTCGATGGTGCTATTATATTTTATTATCCTTAGAAACATCATCTGTGAAATGGGAAAAGTGGATCCAGTAGCAAAGAATTGATTAATATAAGAATCTTTTAGATGAGGATGTAATAATATATAATATATAATATCTATGCACATATATATCAAATGCAGTGAATTTTGGATTATGGCAGGTGATATTATTGTACAATGATAGGGTCTGTTTCTTAGACAGAACAGATAAATTTCCTCTCAGATGTCTGCCAAATATTAAACATTGAGCACACAGGAAATTATTTTTTAAAGAAAAGATATAGGAGAGTGACTGAAAGATCATGGCATCATGATTTCAAAATGTGCCAAACTCGGTATCAATTACATGCACATTATCAACCTCATCTAGGTTTTCCACAGATCTTCAGGGTAGATAACAAAAAAAAGTAAAAATAGGGTAGAATAAAAACTGCCAGGAGACTCGGGTGAAATAAACATTTATATGGATATACTGCTATAGCAACCCATTAGTTTAATGTGTTGCTTGATACTTAAGACTTAGAACCAATATAATAGCATTTATTCCTAGGAACAGATTGAATAATATCATGCATCACTGTCTTAGCCCCAAGGGGTATCTATGTTTAGTTGTGCATTTGAATAAATTAATGTTATTATAATACATTAGGATATTTTAATGATTCTAGATTTTATTAAGCT